AAGAAATGCGTTTTAGTTGGGTTTTTTTCTTTATTCCAACTAAGAATTGCGATTCCCCCCTCCAATAGCTTTCCCCATCTCCAGCCATTGTTTCACCGAAAAAGAAGAGTCGAAGAGGGTTCTGTGAATCGAGGTTAAAAAGTATTCTGTTTCACCTTCTTCAAAATCACCCTGACAACTGCCATTTTTGCTATGACCTATGAAATATCTGTTTATTCCTTTTTTTTCGGGTGGGGGCATTAATGTTCTACAAAGCAGTAGCGTTCTTTCCTGACAGAATATGCTAAATTATGCATGAGTACGTGTGGGGTGTGGATGTGTGTGTGCCACACCTGTCTCATCCCCTTATTTCTCATCACGCCTGATCTATCTGGTCAGGAGGTGGTGGGAAAACAGGAGGAAGTGTGTGCGTGTGTGTGTGCGTGTGCGTATGCAGATGGGTGGGTGGGTTGGTCTGTTGGTTGGTTGGATGATCGGTGGCCTTGATTGCAGTCCTGATAGGAAAGTCAACTTTTGTACAACGTAAAATGCCATTGTCATCTCTCTACGTGTTTATGTCCTGCACTTTCGACATTTTCTGCACTAATTTGTGACAGGTAAATTAGTTATTAAGGTCGACGATTTGAAGGTATCTTTATTGTATTTTACTGACCTACAGAATGTCTCCCAGACTGCTGGCGGAGCTATGCGGCACTATCATCGAATAGACTCATTTGTGAGATATGGACAAGGTTGACATTGACCACGTTCATCCCGTCCACGTTTCGTTAGAAGAAGGGACAGCTTGCTGCCTTTGTACTATGCGTGCGTGGAGATTGAACTTTCATGATCGGATCGTAATCTCGCCTGTTTAAGGGGGTGGGAGGATACAATGCCAGTTGAGTCAAGCGTTAGAGGCCTTCTCTTCTCTTGCCACCCTCACAAATGCCAGCAGCAATGCTACTCTCTGATGCCCTGTTTAATGCGCACCTCTAAGTGGGTCGTCTAGAAGCTATGGACTGCTCCCCCAAATAAAGCTTGTCTCTTGCGTATAGTTGATTCTGTGCAGAACTGTCAAGGCCTGACATGATGAATGGATAGATGGAGGGTTGGCGTGTTATTTATTAATTATTTCAAGCACGCACTTCCTCTACCCTTACATGTTTTTTGGATTCATAAGAGATAGGGGGTGGTAGGGTGGTGAAGAAAAAGGAGAAAGAGAGGATAGGCACCAGGTCGCGATTTTGTCTTCATACTGTTTCGTCCTCTTCCTGTTTTTTTTCTCCCATCATGCACTAGTCTTCTTGTGATGAAAAGACAACTATTTTCAAGGTTGGAAAATCCCCTTCCATCTGAAGATGAGCCTGATTTTTTTGTGTCAAATTTGTGGAGGCACTTTCTTAAAACAGGGTTTGTTTCTTTGCTTTCCTCTACAATAGACCTCCATCCGGTATCCTGTTAGTCACGAGATAAGCATGTTCTTCGACGTTGGGTACTGAAGACGTTCATGGCGTCTTCCAGACTGTCAAGACACCTGTCTAGATAGGAGAGAAGATCAACCATCACAGTTGGATAGATATTTTAGATGATTTGGCACATTTATCCGTCGTGTCATGCATTTGTGACGCCAGTTTCCGATACGAAAAATGGGATGTCATGTGACATCCATGTGCCGTCCCAAGCATCAGTGGTGTGGGAGGCCGGAGCTTTCTCCATGCAAAGGTACAGGATCTTTCTGAAATGAGGAAGAACCCCCTCCCCCGTTCCCTGTCCACCCTGCAGGTACGCCTATCAATTCAGACCTTGAAAAGTCGACATTTTTGACAGCGTCGCATAGTGAAGCCTACTTCCTCCTGTCTGCCCGCCAATGAAGAAGTGTTGCAAGCATGAGGGTAGGACGAGGATGAAGTTGTGGTTTTTTTGTCTAATTTTAAAAATTAGTAGTCAAAAAGTGAATTCACCAGAGATCCTTTGTCGTCGATCCAGCGCTAAATGAATGGTGAGGCCCCCTCTTTGGGTACCCTAGCCCAGTGGCTCAAAGTCACTAGGAGAGAGTCGCATACGCAGACGCTACAATTTTTATCCTCCTTCTTGATTGACGGGATGCCGACTGACCCAGTGCAGATGTGTGTCACCATTGCTGCGTTTTCATTGGCTTGTCAAATTGCTGTAAAATTGGTAGTCCCGTTTTGACTTGAGCGACCCCTAGTACAATAAAATACCAAAAAAGTTGAATCAATTTACGTTTGAGGCATTTTAAAACTGAAATTCTATTTGTTTTTCCTACTTTTTTCCTTTTTTGCTCTAAAGTAAAACAGTCAGGCAAGAAGGGGGCGGCAGCCTTATCTTTCACCACACATCCCTTATCTTTCGCACATTCTTTCACCTTGGGAAGTAATCAAATGTGCACTGTAATATGACACATCTCTTTTCTAATTCCTTTTATAAGGGGAGAAAGGAATCAATAAGAAAAAAGGAGAGGAAAAAATACTTCTATTACTACTGTGGAGGTGAATTAATTTTCGACAATTTGAAATTCAACTTGGTTAACTTGAGACGTCAAAAGTGCATTCATTTGCGGCACAGGGATGTGCGGTTGAAAGCGTGGGTTAGAGTAGCAGGAACTGGAAGAGGGAGGGAGAGAGAGAGAGGACGAGAGCGAGATTGCAGAGGGGATGGAGGGGAAGAAGGTGCCTTGATCTGCGCCATCTCTTTATTTCGTCTTTCTTTTCTCAGGCACTTTTAATTAAACCGAGGCTTGTTATGCTGCCGACACAATACCTTCCTCCTTCTCTCTGTCATTTTTAGACCTCAATCAGACACTTTAGCCTTTAACTCATATTTGATAAGGTGACTAGTGCCTTCGTGACTGCGGGACTACTTTCGCCGTCATTTTAAAGCTTTTCTTTTGAGAAAATCCAAAATTTTAAATTCAGCCAGAACTGAAAAATTTGTGACTGCGCTTATTGGCATCCCTGGGGGCAGAAGTGGGTGACAGTAATTGGTGATTAAGTCGTCGTACATGTCCTAGGTCAGTTCACCTACCATAGTACTACTACTGTTTGTGCGTGTGTGTGTTTGATAATAATAGCACTTTTCGCGTATACCTCATTATGCAGAAGCCTTGACGCCTATCAGAGTGATGATGGAACTTCTAGCCGCAGTCAGTTGGTTGTACGTCTGTCTGCGTCAACTCTGGCTGTGGTGGTGATGCCCGGTTCACAGTCTCGGTGGCCCTTCCTCTCTGTGAGTCTATCTCTAGATGCTTGATCAGTTGTAAAACTGCACACAAAGGAGGAACACGCACCTGTGGGAACTGATCGTAAATCCGACAAGAAAATTAGTGCTCATGAGAAACAAGCATACCTTCCCACTTTTAAGCCGTGTCTGATTGCAGTAGACTGCTGAAGGACGGTTTGGCCAATATTCGTAATTCTTCATTTTCTACCTTCATTTGATGACCTTTGAGGGATACTTGTCGACGCGATGATGGGTAAGTGAGGCCTTAAAACACGGTGTCCAGTTCGGTGTCTTCCCCCCCTCCCACTCCTACCCCGATGAAAAGGCTACTGTTCAACCGTTGGTTTTGCCATGAAATCTACCAACGGTTAATCACATCTTTTCGTCTCAGCTCAAAGCCTGTGATATTATGCTTCTTTGCTACGTTTTGGGGGCTCTTCTCCCCGTCTCCGGCCCTCCGCCCTCCGCTATTCATTACATTGCACTCTTAGTGGATTATGCGTTCGTCCTTCTGCGTAGTTTACCTTTCTCCTCCTTCTGCCTCCTTTATTTCACACTGAGGGAGGCGAAATAGAACTAGACAGCTTTGTAGAACGAACAAATCTGCTCTAAGTAAGGAATGACCGAAAAGTGATAGATTTTCCGCTCTTTTTGTTTGATAATTGCTGTGAAAAGAAGAGTTATGAGACTAAATTTGATACTTCTTTCCACTCTCCTCCCCCCTCCCTCTCCCTCTAATTCCTCCTCTAGAATGAAAAGGCGATTATTTCATAACGAGCTGGAAAATGGATCACAAAAAATATTTGTGCTACATTTATCCTTTCGCCCTTGGAGAATGAGGTTAGCAATCTACCCAGGTCTATGCAGTGCTATAAAATTTGACTGGTGCACCGCATCCATCCTCGCACGAACCCTGGCACCCAAAGTCTATTCACCGAGGAAAGGGGCATCATTACATTCCACACACATTTGGTAATGAAGTGATCCTGTGTTT